TCATCGCAAATCACCTTCCAACAATATGAACAGTGGCTGTGACCGTGGACGCCGACAGATGCAGTGCACAGGAATCAGATCCGCTGCGTCTGTGGAGAGAGGCGAGGGAGAAGCCCAGGATCTTCAGCCAAAACAACTCCAGGAGCTGACTGTGGAACCGACCATCACTGCTCACGTGCAAGTTCCAGCCAAAGCGGAAGACAACTAAAACAAGTCCCCAGGAGCCAAAATAAGACCTGGATCATATCCCTCCTGAATTCAGAGACCATTTAAAGATTTGACACATTGAACACCAATGACCAAAAACCTGGTAAGTTGTGGGATGACATCAAGAACATCATCCATGAAGAAAGCAAAAGGTCATTAAAGACAGGAAAGGAAGAAAAGGGCATAATGGATATCATAAGAGACTCTGAAACTTGTTCTTGAATGGACAGTAGCTAAAGTGAATGGAAGAAATTAAGAAATAAAGGAGCTAAATGGAATTTCAAAGGGCAGCTTGAGAAGGCAAAGTAAAGTATTATAGTGTAATGTGCAAAGACCTGGAGTTAGAAAAACAAAAGGGAAAAACGTGCTTGGCATTGCTCAAACTGAAAGAACTGAAGAAAAAAATTAAGCCTCAGATTGTAATACCGAAGGATTCTATGGGCAAGACACTGAATGATACAAGAAGCATCGCGAGAAGATGGAAGGAATACACAGAGTCACTGTACCAAAGAGAATTGGTCAGTGTTCATCCACTTCAGAAGGTGGCATATGATCAAGAACCAATGGTATTGAAGGAAGAAGTCGAAGCTGCACTGAAGGAACTGGTGAAGAACAAGGCTCCAGGAATTGACGGAATACCCACTGAGATGTTTCAACAAACAGATGCTGCACTGGAGGCACTCACTCATCTATGCCAGGAGATTTGGAAGACAGCTACCAGGCCAACTAACTGGAAGAGATCCATATTTGTACCCATTCCAAAGAAAGGTGATCCCACACAATGTGGAAATTATCGAACAGTATCATTAATATCACACACAAGTAAAATTTTGCTGAAGATCATTCAAAAATAGTTACAGCAGTATATTGACAAAGAACTTCCAGAGATGCAGGCTGGATTCAGAAGAGGATGTGGAATGGATATCATTGCTGATGTTGGATAGATCTTGGCTCAAAGCAAGGAATACCAGAAAGATGTTTACTTGTGTTTTATTGACTACGCAAAAGCATTTGATTGTGTGGATCATAACAAATTATGGATAACATTGAGAAGAATGGGAATTCCAGAACACTTAATTGTACTCATGAGGAACCTGTACATAGACCAGGAGGCTGACATTTGAACAGAACACAGGGACACTACAGGGTTTAAAATGAGGAAGGGAGTGTGTCAGGGTTGTATCCTTTCACCATACTTATTCAATCTGTATGCTGAGCCAATAATCCGAGAAGCTGGACTAGGTGAAGAAGAACGTAGCATCAGGATTGGAAGAATGAGCATTAACAACCTGTGGTATGCAGACCACACAACTTAGCCCACTGAAAGTGAGGATGACATGAAGCACTTACTGATGAAGACTGAGGACTACAGACTGCAGTATGGATTACATCTCAATGCAAAGAAAATAAAAATCCTCACAAGTGGATCAATAAGTAGCATCATGATAAACAGAGAAAAGACTGAAGTTGTCAAAGACTTCCTACTACTTGGTTCTACAATCAGCACCCATGGAAGCAGCGGTCAGGACATCAGACGATGCATTCATTGCACTGGGGCAAATGTGCTGCAAAAGAGCTCTTTCAAGTGCTGAGGAGCAGAGATGTCACTCTGAAGACCAAGGTGCGCCTGACACAAGCCACGGTATTTTCAATCACCTCATACGCATGTGAAAGCTGGACAACAAATAAGGAAGACCAAGAAGAGTTGACTTTTCAATTGTGTCAGTGAAGAACATTCAAAGTACCATGGACTGCCAGAAAAAATGACCAGATCTGTCCTGGAGAAAGCTCCTCGGAAGCGAGAATGGCCAGACTTTGCGTCACTTACTTTGGTCGTATTGTCAGAAGGAACCATTCTCTGCAGAAGGATGTCATGACTGGTAAAGTGGAGGGTCAGCAAAACAGGGGAAGACCTCAACGACATGGACTGACACAAGGGCTCAAGCACAGCCAGGACTGTGTGGCTGGCACAGGACCGGGCGGTATTTCATTCTGTTGTACATGGGGTCACAATGAGTCAGAGGTGACTTGACGGGACTAACCACCGCCACTGGCCCCACCATAGGGAAGGGCTGCATAAGAGTACCAAGTGAGCTGGTGAGCGTATGGGGGAGGACATCAGAGAGCTGGCAGCCTGCCCCCCATATGTCTGTGTTTTCCCTATTGCTTACAGAGGCAATTCCAGTTACAGGGCAGGGGGCCCATCCCCATATACTGCTCACACTTGAGGGGCTGGGACTGAGACACCCTTACAGTGTTCCCTTAGGGCTACCCTCAGAGAGGGGAAGGGAAGGAGGCAAAGGGGCCTCTGGGTGGTCGAATAAGCTTGGCCTGAGGGGTCTAAACAGTACGCCGCCCTCAAGTGTGGGGGCTCAGACTGACCCTGCCCGTGGGGCCTGGAGTCTACACTCAAAGGCAGCCTAACGTGATCCCTAACATGATGCTGCTCCTCAGGAACCTGAGGGCCTATGAGCAGCAGACCCGCTCAGGGAGCTCCCCAGGGCCGATCCCAGCACTGGTGAATGCAGAGCCCTGCCATGCGAGCATGTCCGAGACTCCACCTACTCGCCACACACTGAGCCCAAGGCCAGCTTTACTGCTGATCCCAGTTGGCTCCAGTGGGTCCCTGTACGTCACCCAGCCTCTCACCAAATTTGCTAATCTGATATATTCAGGTCTAGTGAGTCCTTGAGTGTCACCCGGCCTTTCACCAGATGTGCCAATCTGACATTCCAGTCCAGTGGGTCCCTGTACGTCACCCAGCCTCTCACCAAATTTGCTAATCTGATATATTCAAGTCTAGTGAGTCCGTGAATGTCACCCGGCCTTTCACCAGATGTGCCAATCTGACATTCCAGTCCAGTGGGTCCCTGTACGTCACCCAGCCCCTCGCCAGATGGAGAAAGTTCCATGGGGCAGGACACAGAGAGCAACCAGCCCCTGTAGGGAGGAATCAGAAGGATTGCAAATGACCACATGAGAGACCCTGCAAACCAGGCATCAGTAGATACAGAACACAAACAAGTCACACTCAGAACACTTAACGCAACAGAAGCTCCTGAAGATTATGGGCGAGGAGCCAGGGGCCTCCAGCAAGCCTCAGCAGTCCTGCATCGATCAGAAATTCAAATCTGGATGTGACCTCGTGAAACCGCAAAGCAGCCAACAGAGCGGTTCAGGGAGAAGCTGTTAGACTGCGTTCAACACCAACGGGTGGCATGAGGCTTGTGTCCCAGAGTGGAGGTGCCACGAGTCAGGACCAGCCACAGCATTACCGTGTCCAGCAGCCACTGTAAAACACACAAGGAGGTGACAGGCACATCACAGCACAGCTGCTCACCTGGCTCCCCACGAAGCCTCACTGGCTACCCAAGCAGAACTTACAAGTCTCAGGAAACTCCATGGGGTCCAGTGATTCCACCACACTGATTATGCCAGCTGGGAATGTACAAACACAAGGGGGACTGGACGATCCCCAACACTGACCACACAGCAAGCAACTCTCACTTAGACAGGCTCTCTACATGCTTCCCAATGACCACAAGAGCCACAGAAGTGTGGCTCTCCCACTGACGCCACGGTTCCCAGGGGCTACAACTGCCAGATGCCAAACTAAAACCAACAGGTGTCCTCCAGCAACCGGGCTCCTGCTCCGACTCTGCCTTGAGGACAAAGACTCTGCTCAGGAGGTGCACCATCAGCTCGGGGTCTCCCTGAAACAGCCGGCCCCACTGCCCGGGCTCAGCTGGCCCCACCCCACGTTCTGAGACCTTCTGCAGAAAAGCACGCATTCACTGTTGCGGTGTAGTAAATTACCTGGTATGGCTTTTCTAGCCGTAAGTCTTTGTAAACTCCGCAGTGGAATTTGCCCTGAGTGATTGAGTAGCTCCTGATCATTAAAGTTATCCACCTAGGGTATTTCTGTTGACAGTGGCACAAAGCAATGTTCTGGGAAGTTTGCCTCTCTCAGGTGTTTAGAATTCTGATGTTAAGATTGGTTAGTTTGGCCACTCTGCCACGCTCAAAAGGAGGCCTCCTAGAGGCAGAAGTCTCTCTGACTGCTGGCTGAGAAGGACGTGCTGCTGCGAGAAACACGCTCCTGAGAGACACATGTTGCTGGGAAAGAGGCATAAGAGACACACATTGCTGAGAGAGACACTGAGATACACCCATTGCTGGGAGAGTGGCTGAGAGAGACTGTTGGCTGAGAAACAGCAGGCTGAGAGACACTGAGTGTTTTTTCTGAACTTGAATTGTAGCCTGGTGCTTCCCTAATAAACCCCATAATCTGTGAGTTATGTGTGGTCACTGCAGTGGATTATTGAACCCAGCAGAAAGGTGGTGGGTGCTGCGGGAAGAACAGTTGGTGTCGGGGCTGATGAAAGGGCTGGAGGGAGGCGGCATGTTTGGCCTCACAGGAATAGGCCTTGGGCCCTGTCTTCCTCTTGTGGGGTTAGAGGAGGTCAGGAGATGCGGCCTCCTTGCCCCTTTAGCAACTGTCAGTGGAGGAACACGAGATGTAGGGCAACAGCAGGTGTCAACTTAACATCGAAAAACAAGATAAAAGCTGAGGAACAGAGAACACTGTTCACACCAAGGGCTGCCTGGCAGAGGCGCTGGCTGGGCACACCCTGCCAGGAGCTACCACCTGAGGCCACGCCAGCTCACTCAGCGACAAGGCAGACATCCCTGCAATGAAAGTGGAGCTCTTTCCCATGAAAACATGAGAAAAGACAAACCACCACCATCTTTGGGGGAGGCCTGCCCACTCAGGCTCCATGCCCAGCCCTTACCTCCTGGAATCTGCGAAAGACGCGGTCGCTCTGGTGGGCGCCAATGGTGATTTCCGGGAGATAGACAGGAATGGTCGTGTAATTCAGCACTGCCAACTTATCCTGCACCCTGGAAAGAAGACAGCAAGGGTCACGGCGAACATTACTGTCAGCACTAAACCTCCAACAAGGCTGCCTTGCTCTTCACAGCCACATATGGTCATCCCATGAAAGGAATGCTGCTGGTGGCCAGAAGGGCACTTGAAGAGCCAGCACTCACCCCAAGGACCACCCAGTGGAGCTAAGCTGCTCTCGGGCTTTCAGGCCTGAACGCTGAAAAGCCATGACTGTGGGGACATAACAGAGTGGGACCTTTGAAGCAGGAGCCACAGGACTAACCACCAAACTGTCCCTGGCACTGTCCATGCAATCACTCACTATGCTCACACCAACAAGGGGCCAGCAGCAATCCTCCTGGTCACCCCAGCCACCTGCTACTCTGCACATGGTCACGGCTGACTCCAGGAGCTGAAGGTAACAGGGCCACGTAGGACTGTATGTGGCACCAGCGTCTCCAATGTCTAACCCTCTGCTTTTCTGGGCAGCAAGAAATACCAGTTGCCCTATGTCCCCACTCAGGCTACTGGCTGCTAGAACACCGAGGCTGTGTTACCACTGGCTTCTTGCACACCGACTTTAGTTTGGCTCCAACCACTACGTGAAGCGGAAGGGTATTTTTTATGCTTTTACAAAGAAATGCTGGTGTCTCCCTGCTGAAAGGCTCAAACTAAGAGAGCAAGGGTTTCAAGGCCACCTTCCCCCAAACGAGCCCCAGAGGCAGCTGGCGTCCAGCCAGACAGTGAGAATAATCCAGGCCTGATGCAAACGCAGCCCCAAGTGCCACTGATGGAGCAAGCTGACCAGGTCTGAGGCCCACGTGGCCCACGCGTCATTCTGCAAGGCGAACAGGGCTGAAGCAGCTGCAGCAGGCTGAATACAAGGGACAGTGGTGAAAGGCACGTCTAAGTGTCAGCTAAAAGCCCATGTGGCTGTCCAGCCGTTATTAAGCCAACATGCCAATGGCACCGCAGGGACATACTGCCGGGCCTTCACGTGTCTCCTACGTGCATTCCTGCCAGCTGCCCACGGCGACGCACGCCGCAGCTGCAGCGCTTACACATAAGTAGATCTCCCTTCAGGTTTAATACTCTGTGTGTGTCACTTACACGAAGACATCAAATATTAAAACAGAAACAATCAAGCAGCAAGTCAGTAAAGGCAAGGGTGTGGTTTCAGCTTCCGGGAGCAAGTGTTCCCACGGTTACAGGAAATGTCAGGTGGCTGTCATGGGTGTCTTATAAAACCTAAACTAAAGCCCAAACCACACCCACTGCCGTCAAGTCAGTTCTGACTCACAGCACCCCAAGAGGACAGAGTAGAACTGCCCCACAAAGTTTCAAAGGCTGTCATCTTTACAGAAGCTAACTGCCTCACCTTTGTCCTGTGGAACAGCTGGTGAGTTTGAACCCATGAACTTTTGGTTGGCAGCCAAGTGCTTCACTACTGAGCCACCAAAACTCCAAACATCAAATGGCCATCACACTGATTCTGACTCAGAGACCTTATAGGACAGAGGAGATCTGCCTCACAGGGTTTCCAATCTATATAGAAGTAGACTGCCTCATCTATCTCCTACAGAGCAGCTGGTGGGTTTGAACCGCTGACCTTCTGGTTAAGCAGCCAAATACCTTATCCACGATGCCCAACTCTACCATTAAATAACAAGCCACAGACATACCACCGTTTGTAATCCTCTTACAACACAACGTCCCTCGTGCTCTGATAACCAGGAAACCACACCACTACCAAAGTCACAGTTTCTGTTGAGACATCAGCTTTGACCATGGTGTAGAATCAGGCTGTCACATGACTGAGAGCACACTCTGAACACAGCACTGTATTGTCACCATGCAGGGGGGCCCGGAGCCACAGATAAGTACTGTCACCACACAGGGGTTCCCAGAGCCATGGATAAGCACTGTCACTGTGCAGGGGGCCCCAGAGCTGTGGATAAGTACTGTCACCACGCAGGGGGATCCAGAGCTGTGGATAAGTACTGTCATCATGCAGGGGGTCCTGAAGCCATGCCTACATGTCACCACCATGCAGGGATTCCCAGGGCCATCCCTACATATCATCACAGTACAGGGGTCCCAGAGCCATGCATATGTACCATCACCATGCAAGGAGTCCAAGAGCTATGCCTATGTACTGGAACCATGAAGAGAGACCTAGAGCCATGCCTTTGTATCGTCACCATGCTGAGGACCCCAGAGCCATGTACATACAGGTCTCAGGCAGGGTTAGGATAGGCAGGGTCATCTTTTCCCACACAACACCTCATCCTCCGCCCAGAGGGAGCAAGCACTAACAAGCCAGAGCCAGACAAAAGCATCAACAAAGGAGCCTGGAAGAGGTAAGCGGAGGTTCCAGGAAAGGAGTCAACTGAGGCAGGCTGGAGAAAACAAAGGGCATCCAGATGACGGGGACATGGCCAAGGACACGGCAGGCTGGCTGGGGTCCTGGCTGGAAGAGGCAGAACCTGGGCCGAGGACAGGGACATGGAATTAACTCTAGGAAGTGGAATCTGCAGTGCTGCCTACACAACAGAGCACCACAGGAGAGTGGGACCCCAGGAGCCCGTGAGGACGACACATAGTGGGAGAGCAGGTCCTTGGGAGCCCGTGAGGACAACACACAGTGGGACAGCAGGACCCCGGGAGCCCATGAGGATGACACATAGTGGGACAGCAGGACCCCGGGAGCCCGTGAGGACGACACACAAGTGGGACACCAGGACCCCGGGAGCCCGTGAGGACGACACACAGTGGGACACCAGGACCCTAAGAGCCCATGAGGACGACACACAGTGGGAGAACAGGACCCCAGGAGCCCATAAGGACAACACACAGTGGGACAGCAGGACCCCGGGAACCTGTAAGGACGACACACAGTGGGAGGGCAGGTCCCCGGGAGCCCATGAGGACAACACACAGTGGGAGAACAGGACCCCAGGAGCCCGTGAGGACGACACACAGTGGGACAGCAGGACCCCGGGACCCTGTAAGGATGACACACAGTGGGAGGGCAGGTCCCCGGGAGCCCATGAGGACGACACATAGTGGGACAACAGGACCCTAAGAGCCCGTGAGGACGACACACAGTGGGAGAACAGGACCCTAAGAGCCCGTGAGGATGACACACAGTGAGACAGCAGGACCCCGGGAGCCTGGAAGGATGACACACAGTGGGAGGGCAGGTCCCTGGGAGCCCATGAGGATGACACATAGTGGGAGAGCAGGTCCTTGGGAGCCCATGAGGATGACGTATATAGGGGAGAGCAGGTCCCTGGGTCTCTGTTCGGATGACATATCCAGGGAAGAGCATGTGAGACTCGGGCAGATAAACAGCAGGGAGAGATGTGCAGAGCAGGCATGGGTGATACCACACGAGGCAGGGGGCACAAAAAGAGCAGGAGCGTCTCCAAGGATGGCTGTGCCAGCCTCTGAGGGGTGGCAGAGGGGCAGAAGCAGCCCACGGTGCTGCTGGGGTCCTTTCTGGGAGCAAGTGGCAGGAGGGGCAGGATTGGCTGTGACCAGGCCCCAGGGAAGGTGCAGGGCGTGTCAACACAGGACGCCTCCATCAAGCACCTTCCCACACAGCACTGACACTCCCAAGTGATGGTGAGAAACTCCTACACTGTGGGCTTTCAGGCCCAGAGACAAACTTGGGGACAGCAGCTGTTACCACAAGGGTGGAGTTGTTGGGTGTTTGCTTAATGTTGTAAAGCAAGCTTCAGAATGAAAACATACATGACAGCATTTCTGCCACTTCACAAACAAAAGATCTAAACAAAACCAAAAAGTTAATGTTTGAAGAAAACTTCCACTTTAGGCTATAATAGGTTATGAGGTGGGGAGCTGTCACTCCTACCATCACAATGAAAAAGACAATTAAAAGACAGGGCTTGTCAGACTGGGTCAAAAAACGAGATTCAACTATGTGCTGTGTGCAAGAAACCCACTTTAAACACAGAGATGCAGACAACTTAAAAGCAATGGGATGGACAAAGATACATCCTGCGCACACTAACCAAAAGCTGATGGAGCTGGATTAAAGCAGACTTCAGAACAAGAAAAATGATCAGGGATCAAGATGGGCATTCCATAATGATAAAGGGCCCAATTCTTCAAGAAAACGTAACAATCCTTAACACATATGCACCTAACGATAACGTGTCCAAATGTATGCGGCAAAAACTGATAGTAACAGACGAATTCACAACCACAGCCGGAGGCTTCACTGCTGTCAGAAACAGACGGATCCAGCAGGCAGTCAGTTAAAGATACAGATGACACAAAAAACATCTCAATCAACTTTACCTACTTGGTATTTCCAGAGTCCTCTGGACAACAGAACACACATTCTTCTCAAGCCCCATCAGAACGTTCAAGATAGAAGATACACTGGCCATAGAAAATGCCTTAATATGTTTTAAAAAAAAAGTCTTACAAAGTATGCTTAGACCACAAAGGAATCAAACTAGAAAGCGGTTAACAGACAGATGGAAAATCTCCAAATATTTGGAAATAAACAACACACTTCTAACTAATATGGGTCAGAAAAGTCTCAAGAAAATTTTGAAAATATTTTAAATTAAAGGAATTCTAAAATGAAGCATCAGAATTTGAGATGCAGCAAAAGCCTTAGAGGGAAATCTATAGTTCAACGTATATTTTACAGAGATCATTTCCTTGACAACAGCATTTTCAAGAGGGGTAGGATGTTGTCGCTGTTGTTGTTAGGTGCTGTCAAGCTGTCTCCAACTCAGAGTGACCCTATGCCAGCAGAATGAAACACTGCCCGGTTTTGAACCAGCCTCCCGAACCTTGCTATAGCTGAGCCCATCATAGCAAACACTGTGTCTATCCATCTCATTGAGGGCCTTCCCCTTCTTTCTTGAACCTCCACTTTACCAAGCATGATATCCTTCTCCAGGCAATGGTTCCTTCTGACAATATGACCAAAGTAGGTGAGATGAAGTCTGGCCATTCTCGCTTCCAAGGAGCA